AGCCGTCCTGAGCTCATCCCCTGCCCTCGGCAGCCCCGAGCCTGACTCAGGCATAGCTTTGGCTTCCAGAGCATAAGGCTCAGGCCAGGCTGTTTGGTCGATAAAACATGTCTAGTTCCTGTGCCTCACTTGTGACCTTCTTTTTCCCCTCCACGATGTGTACTTTGCCATCTACCTTTGGGGCGCAAACAGCTGTCCCGCTCCCTGGCAAATGTCAGGAGCCCTCTTGTTGCCCAGTAGAATGTAGCACCCCTCCCCCCACGCCTCAATCTGTTTGTCCAAGAAGGGCAGAAGGGGAGACAGACGAGGCAGAAACACTTCCTGGGCCTGGGTTCCCTTCTCCCTTCTCTGCCAATGTTGCCCCCCCCCGTTTCGGGGATGGGGGTCATTAGACCAGGTCCTGGGGTCTCCAGGGGGGGGAGGGGTCTCACCCAGAGGAGGGGTAAGTCAGACTCTGAGTTCCTGCTGTCATCCACCAAGGTGTAGAGGAAAGCAGGAACTCATACCTCACCCACTGAGACGAAGCCTCCACCACAGCCTCCCAGGAACCCTACAAAGTGCTCCCTCAGTATGTCCCCTGGCCAGTTTGGGGAGATTGTCTTTCCCGAGGGAGTGGGACCTCAGAACTGGCAGCCCACCCAACCTTTTCCTCATCTCCCAGCATTCACTTCAACCTAGATATCCTAGGAACCCCTTCTTCTTTTCAGCAGAAGTCTTTTGAAAAGGAAGTGGGACCCCCTTCCCCCTTCTTCATAGCCGTGATCTCCCCCTAGGGAGGAAGATCTCCTCCACCAGAGTCCTCTTGCCTCCTCAGGGACCCTCCACCTCTTATCCCCTTATGCCTCTCTGCATTTCCAGTTACTGCCTCCACTCCCACCCCAGCATGTAATGTGTTGTGCCATCTTGAATAATAAAGACCTCCCTCCACCTGGGTCCTCTGTCCTTTCAAACCATGGGTGTCTTGACTTTGTCACACCCAGTACACAAAGGGCTCCCCACCATTGTTGGGATGAAACCCATCTCTGGGTCTGGGTCACAAGACTGGACTCGTTCCCCACTCTCATTGCTCCCTCCCCTCTCTACACAGCCTGCAGACACTGGGCAGTTTCCAGACACAGCCCCAGGGTCCACCCTGGAGGACTCCTGGGCTCCAGGCTAAGTTAAATACTCCTCTTTGGGGCTGCCCCAGCCCTGGGCCTTGCATCCCCTTGCCAAGGTACACAGATCTGTTTCCATGGGTCTCAGAGTTGTTTCCTCAGTGTTCACCAGTGCTTGGCACCAAGTGGTCAGCAAATATTTGGTCACAAGTGCTGGAACACTTGGTGAATGGCCAGATTTTACGTTGCCTGAGGTACCCCAGTCCAGAGAGGTTGGTGCTAGGTCCAAGGTGAGGGAGAATAGCCCATTAGGGGCTCGGCAGAGTCTCGGCTTCCCTGCCTACCACTGACATAGCACCCGTATATGTCTGTATTGCAAGCAGCCCTAGCGCTCCTACCTCACTCCAATACCCACTAGGCAGGGCTGGACCAAGTGGGAGCCAGATAGGTGGGGCCTGGGTCAGCCCTTCGTGTAATGCAATCCCATCCAGAGCCAGCAGGTGGCACTGTGCGGCTGTGCTTCTGGGCTACAGCCCAGCTCCGCGCCTCCGGTGATAGGAGGGACTGGGGTGGGTAGCGGGCGGAACCGGAGCGAAGTGAACGGGGCACCGCCACCCCGACGTCTTTGATGGGTTTCCTGCACCTCCTCCTCTTTGATACTCGCTGTTCTCCCCTTTCTCTCTCCCTCTAGTCTCTGGGTCTCGTTCTAATCTCTTCCCGTCACCCTGGTCCAGCCTGCTCCAATTTCGGGCTTGGAAGAGAGGCCTGCGTTGTCTAAGGGAGAAGCCCTAAGCCTGAGGTCCTGGTTATCCCGCGGGGCAATTAATGCCCATTAAGGATGGAGACGGTGCTGGCAGAGGAAGCTCTGAGCCATAACCCCGGCGTTAGACTAATGGCTCCAACCCCCAAAACGGGCACGAACCCATCTTCTGTCTGTGACCGGGCCTGCCCACGGCCACACCCCAAGTCACCGCCCAGGCCCAGGCTCCGCCCATCTCTGGGGTGTTGCAGCTGGGAGCTGGGCTCAAAGCTCAGAGGAAAGCCCCCTCCTTACCCAAGGTGGACTGCCCAACTGCCCAGAGGAGGGGAGAACCGGAAGGTCTCCTCGCCCTCTGTTGCAAGGCCCGAGTAGCTAGGTGACAGGAGTGGGTGAGGGCGGGGGGAGGAGGGAATCGCCCAGACCACCTCCCACCTGACTTCCTGCCTGTTGCCTCACAGGTCCACCACCCCTATCCCTTCCCCAGAGACCTCAAACAGCTTGCAGCTCTTGGATGGACACCTTTCAGTCCACACTTCTGACTCTCTGCCTTTGCTTCTTTTTCTGCGTCTCTCACCTCCATCACAGTGCCTGAGGCCGGAGACTGGAGGAAGCTCGGGGAAGAACTTGTCCAGGAGAGCAGCTGGTTGCCCTTCCTTGGGGCTTGTCAGGCCCTCCACACTGACGTGCTACCTCTCACTCATTCCTGTTCCCCCTTTGAATTTTATTTTATTTTATTTTATTTATTTATTAATTTTTTTATCCTCACCTGAGGACATTTTTCCATTTTTTGTTCAGATAGAATGGGAGGGAGAGAGAGGAAGAGAGAGAGAGAGAAACATGGACGTGAAAGGGACACATCAAGTGGTTGCCACCCACACAACCCAACAAGGGCCCGGGACAAACTGCAACCGAGTTACGTGCCCTTAGCGGGAACTGAACCCGGGTCTCTCTGGACCGCGGGCCGAATCTCTAACCGCTGAGCCAAACTGGCCAGGGCCCCCTTCGAATTTTTATCTTCAGTTCTTCCCCAGGCCTTTATTTGTTTATTGTTACCCACTTCCTTTATTACCCACCCCCTTTGTTACTCTATTACCTTCCCTGGTATTTTCCGGCCTTGGGGCCTCCTTTGTTACTCTTGGATGCAGTGTTTGTACCTGGCCCCTGGCTGTGACCACATGCCTTGTTGTTACCCCTCCCTCCAGCTGTGCTGTTCCCATCAGTCTTCACTTACAGGTTGAGTCCTTTGCTGTGGAAGGTAAAAGGGCCCAAGGTTGATCAAGAGAATCTGTTCTAGGGAGTGAGAAGGAGGTCTCCAAGCCTTCTGACCCAGGGGACCTGAGGCCCCTACCTTGTCTGGTGGTCTCCCATTGAGCCACCTCCCCCAACTCTGGTGTGGCCCCAAAGCTACAGACTGGCAGGTCTTGGGTGGTCCTCTTTGCACTGGGGTAACCCTTTGGGTGCTATATGGTGGACCTCACTCCCCACATCCATCCTCACAGTCTTCTCGTGCAGCAGCACTAGGTTGAGTACAGTGAAGCCAGTCACAGGCCAAATAGGCAGCCTCTGGACATGCAAACAGACAAATGGAGGTGGCCAGCCAGATGGAGCCTATGGCAGCATCAGTCAGGAACTCAGAGGTGGGGGTGGGGAGTAGCCATGCAGCTTTGGCCTAAGTGGCTTTTAGGGGCAGCACATGGGGTGTGAATACCCAAGGGGCTTTGGCCCAGGAGGCTGCCCAGAGGCGGGCCCTGTGCTTGGGCAGGAGCTGGGAGCCCAGGCTCAAGGCACTGGATAAGTAGCAACAAGGACTGGGCCTGAGTGGAGCTTGCTCCTGCCCTCATGGGGAACTGTCTAGGCTGGCTATCCCTGACTCCTGGGGACCAGGTATGTGCTGGGGAGGGGTGCACTGAGGGAGGGGGCTGCAGCTAGCTGTCTTCCTGTATCTGAGGCTGTGAAGAGTGTGGGCTTGGAATCTCACAGCCCTGGGCTCAGAGGAGCTGGGGAACCTGGTCTGGGTCTCTTCCTTCTCCATCTCAGTCTCCTGATCTGTAAAATGGCCTGAACCCTCTAGGGTTATTTCAGGTGAAATGCACTCAGAGGCATGACAGAGCCGAAATGATTCTTCATTTTTATTATTACTGTTTGGTTGGGGGAATGTAGAGGCTATGGGAGAGGGAGGAGGGGGGAGCAGAGGGCTAGGGGCAGAGGAGGGGAGATACAAGGCTCATGGAAGTAGCTCCTGTGACTGCTGACCACAGAGCAGAACAGGATGGTGAGGGTGGAGTAGCAAAGACCAAGACCCTCTCATCTCAGCCAGACAAGTGTATTTCTTTACCCCGCCCTTCCACCTTTTCAGTCACCAACAATGGACAGGGTCATGAGTGAGGGGCCCTCCCTGGTATACAGAGGGGATGATGGGAATGCTTAATGGACACACACACACAGCACAGATGGGGCAAACACTCCTGGGGCCAGGGAGTCACTCAATCAATGGCCTCCAGTAGATAGGGATGGGCTGCTGTCATGTCACTTTCAAACCCCTCTTTTTGCCTCTTGGACATGCTGGGATTCTGGGATGGGCCAGGGCACAGGAAGGACCTAGAGACATGTACAGTGGTGCTGGTGGTGCAGAGGAGGTTGGGCAGAGCTGTGGCCCTTGTTGTTACCCTCTGTACCCTGTATGGGACTCCTTCGGCCTTAGAACACTTTTTCCATCCCTCTCCCACCTCACTATCTTGGTGTAGTGCCCTACATGTAGTAGGTGCTCAATAAATGTTCCTGGACTAGGAGGCAAAGTTGCTTACTACAAGAAGACTGCCCAGAGTGGGGGTGAGACAGAGGGGTTCCCAGTAATTCGAGACCCCCTGTTCTTGCAGCCTTCCTCCAGGCTCCCCTGGGCTGGCGGGCTGCCAAGCTGCCGAGTTAGGGGCGAAACCAGGCTGGCTTGAACCTAGGGTGGGGGCGGAGGAGGCGGGGAAGGGGCGGTGCGGGGGCGGTGTCGCAGCCGGAGCTCCAGCCCAAGCCCGAGGCGACGGGAGCCGAGCGGGAGCCGCCGGAGTCGTCGCCAGGTCCCCAGCGCCGCCTCTGGGCCGCCTCTGCGCCGCCGCCGCCGCCTCGGCCTCCGCGCTGCCCGCGCCCCTGGCTTGCTGGCGGCGTCTTTGAGCGCCGTGGCCAGCCCGTGGCCGGCCGGTGGGTAGCCGGCGCCATGGCCACACCAGAACCGCTGCGGCCCCGCCTGTGCTGCCTGGTGCGTGGCGAGCAGGGCTACGGCTTCCACCTGCACGGCGAGAAGGGCCGTCGTGGGCAGTTCATCCGGCGCGTGGAGCCCGGCTCCCCGGCCGAGGCGGCTGAGCTGCGCGCCGGAGACCGCCTGGTCGAGGTCAACGGCGTCAACGTGGAGGGCGAAACGCACCACCAGGTGGGTGCCTGCGCCCCGCCCGCCCCCTCCCCGGGAGCGTGTCCGTGGAGGCACCAAGGACCACCTGGTCGGTGCTGCCAGCGCCCAGGCCTCAGCTCCCTGCTCCGGGCCAGGAGGGGGTCGCACCAGGGCCTGTGTGCCTCCCCCGCACCCGGCTCCGGGAAGTGGGGGACGTAGCCACCGAGGCAGCAGCAACCAGCCTCCTTCCTAGTACCCCACCCTCAAAGCTCAGCGGCCCTGCACCGCGGAGGGGGAATCCTGGCAGGGAGGGGCCCGCACTGCGGATCTAGATCTTTAGGCTTGCTCTTGTCTCAGTGTGCCAAGTATGGAGGTGAGGGACAACTTGTGTACACGTGTGTACACACAACTGGGTATGAGTATGAGTGTGCAGGTCCCTCTGGATCATCCATGTGCACACAACTGTTTATGTGTACCTGGGGGGTGTCACAGTAAGGGGACCCCTGTGTGTGCCTGCATCAGTGAACGTGTGGGAGCTGGACTGTGTACATGTGAATATACAGGTCTGCACCCTAGATATATATGTGTGTGGACAGATCTGCACGCTTGAACATGTGTATGTGAGCTGCAGTGTGTGTGAAAACATACAGGTCTGCATGCCTGGATGGGTGTGAGCTGTGCTGTGTGTGTGTGTCCAGGCCTGCGAGTTGACCCACCTGGCTGTGGTCAGTGTGTGTTGGCAGCTGGTGTACTCGTGGTTGTTCTGACTGATGGTGTCTGGGTTCCAGTGGGAATCGCTACCGGTGGCAGCACATTCCTCTCCTTGGAGGCTGCCTGGCCCTGCAGGTGTCACTGGGCTGAAGCCCTTTATTCCTGCAGCTGGAGATGAAGGCCAGAGGGGGGACAGGGTCTCTTCTCTGTAGGTTCTGAACCCTGGGGGTTCTGACCACTGGCCTGTGACTCACCTGGCTTGGGTACAGCCACTTCTGCTCAGGTTCTTCTGTGTCCCTCCAGCACCTGGGTGTCCATGATCTGTTTGAGTGCCCAGCCCTGGGGTGTCCATGATCTGTTTGAGTGCCCAGCCCTATATTGGTCCTCGGGTGGGCCAGGAGCTGAACTCCTGGGCCCTTGTCTATCCATCTGTCTGCTGTCCTGTCTTCCACCCAGAATGTCAACCTGATAAGGCTGTTTGCTGAAGGAAGGTGGGTGTCAGGGCCAGAGGGCTTAGCTTGACAGGCAACAGGGAGGGGCTGGCAAAGCTGGTACCTTGTCACTGTTTAACAGTCACTGCCACCACTGCCACCCTTGCCCCTGCTTGTCCCAGGCCTCTGGGTGCTGTTCTAAGAACTTCACACACCGGCCCTGGCTGGATAGCTCAGCTGGTTACAGCGTCGTCTAGAAACGCCAAAATTGCTGGTTTGATTCCTGGTCAGGGCATGAACGAGAATCAACCAGTACATACATAAATAAGTGGAACAACAAATCTCTCTCTCTCTCTCTCTCTCTGTAAAATAAAATAAAAATAAAAGTTTAAAACTTCACACACAGGACCTCCTGGGACCCTCCCACTGCAGTTATAGCTCCCATCTTTTTTTTTTTAATGAATTTTCAGAACATTTATTATGTTTTTTTTTTTTATCCTCACCCGAGGACATTTTTCCATTTTTTGTTCAGATAGAGTGGAAGGGAGAGAGAGAGAGAGAGAGAGAGAGAGAGAAACATCGACGTGAAAGGGACACATAGAGTGGCTGCCACCCGCACGACCCAACCAAGGCCAGGGACAAACTGCAACCGAGGTATGTGCCCTTGGCGGGAATGGAACCCGGGTCTCTGTGGACTGCAGGCCAATACTCTAACTGCTGAGCCAAACCGGCCAGGGCTATTTTTTTTTTTTTTTTTTCAGATAGAGTGGGAGGGAGAGAAGGAGGAAGAGAGAGAGAGAAACACTGACATGAAAGGGACACATCTACTGGTTGCCACCCATACAACCCCAACCGGGCCAGGGACAAACCGTACATGCCCTTAGCGGGAACCGAACCCGGGACTCTCTGGTATGCAGGCCGACACTCTAACCACTGAGCCAAACGGGCAGGACATAGCTGGCATCTTAAAGTTGAGAAAACTGATGCTTGGAGATGTTGAGTGACTTCTTTGGGTATCACAGTTAGGAAGCAGCAGGGTGCTGGGATCCTGTGCAAAGGGAGAGAGGAGGATGGCCAGGGAAACATCAGTCTGGTTCAGACTCTCCTCTCTGTTGACAACTTATGCCAAGCTGCTGATGGTGGCCCCCATCTCCCCTCCCCCAGGCCTTGGGGTGGGGGTGGGGTTGTTACCTTACTCCAGTGCCCAGTGGGCATTTGCTCCTTCTCCCTGCAAGGCACATACTGGCATACATGCCCCATGGACCAACATATGGTCTAGACATTTCACAGGCACCTGCATAGACACACAGATGGGCCACATGCCACACTTGTCCCACAGGTGGACCTGCCCCTCCCTGCCTGCTGGGTCCATATCCTGCTTACAGCATCTGTGTGGTTCCTGAGTGGGTGCCTTGCCACAGGAACCCTGCAGGTCCAGCAGGAATGGGTCTGTGGTCATGGTCTAGAGTGAATAGAGGACCTAGAGGCTGGGGTTTAGACTTCCGTACTCCACCACTGAGAAAGACAGAAATGGGCACAGACACATCCAGACTGACACACAGGGAGATGCCTGGCTGAGAAACAGACCCTGAAACAGATAGATGTATGCATGCCTGCACAGCTGCCTCACCCAGCATCCCCTCCCCTCCTGGAGAAAGTCTTGGGCTGAGGCAAGGCCCTGGGACCCACTGCAGTCCTTGCAGCCTGGGCCCTAGTGTTGAGCCCCGGGAGAGGAGGGAGGGAGGGAGCCAGCGGCTGGAGTCTGGGGGTGGGGGGTGGAGCCGGCAGGCCTCTTGATCCTGCCACCCACCCCTAGTAGGCCAGCCGCTTGCCCATGAGCCCTGCCAGCCTTTGGTGGTGCCACAGTCCATGTGCTATCCAGGGAGCTGGCTGCTGACCCACTACCACCTACCTATCCCAGGTGGTGCAGAGGATCAAGGCTGTGGAAGGGCAGACCCGACTGCTGGTGGTAGACAAGGAGACAGACGAAGAGCTGCGCCGGCGGCAGCTGACCTGCACTGAGGAGATGGCCCAGCGAGGGCTTCCACCCACCCATGATCCCTGGGACCCAAAGCCAGTCTGGACACATGCAGGCAGCCTTGGCTCCAAGGATGGCCAGAAGGTATGGCAGATTCTGCTCACAGGGACCACCTTGGCTTCTTCCAGAACTATTTTGGCTTCTTGATGGCAGTCACTGTTTCTGGTCACCTCCAGAAGTCACTGTCTCAGTCTTGTCTGCCTCTTAGGGCCCTTCTTTGCCCCTGCTAGCTACCCTCTTGGCTACGCTCTCTGCCTTCAGACTGGTTTAAGCTGGGTAGGGTGAGGGCAGCCTGGTCCCTGGCCCCCAGCCCTCTTCCTGGATGCTCCAAGCCACTCTGACAAGGCCCCTCCCTGGCGTAGGGGCTGAGGAACCCGACCTAGGGAGGGGCTGCTAGGAAGTCCTGGGACTGAGTGTGCCCAGCTCTATGTCTGTATGTCTGGTGTTTATGTTTGTGGCTCTGTCCCTGTGACTGTCTCTAGGAACCTGCTTGTTCTGTGAAGGCTTTGGGGAATGGGGGCTGGCTCTCCTCTGTGGGCAGTGTATGGTTAGGGACAGCGGAAGAGACTCTAGGCTGAGTCCTCATCTGATGATTTCAGGGTTGAGGCACCTCCCTCGTCTCCCTGCCCGTTTCCCCACCCCCCAGGCTGGAAGAGCTGGAAATGAGTTCACCTCCTTTTAGGTATCTGGGACTGTTGAGTGTCCCTGGGTGGGTAGAGGGTTGACCCTACCTGGGAAGCACCTGGTGGTGTGGAGGAAGAGCCTGGGGCTGCTAGTTCCTCCTTCCTGGAATCCCCATGTTATTGTCTCTCTCCCTTTTTTTATTGTTAAAGAAAAACAAATCCCTTTAGGGGATTCAAGCCCAGGGTTTCCCCAGATCCCACTTTGAAAACCACTGGCCTAGGCCCAGTGGAGGTGTGAGATCTGAAGTTTCTGGGTGCGTAGGGGATCCTAGCATCTGCCTTGTCCTGTGTCTGTGATCTGGACTGGAACACAAGCCTGCACATTTTGTTCTAAGTGTGTGTGTGGGGGTGCTCAAGGACAGAGAACCGCTGGGTGGGGTGGAGGGGTGTTGTCCCAGGGCCATGGTGCTAGGCCCTGTAGTTTGCATTTTGCTCTGGGGCCACCGAAGGCTGGAATAGGGGTGTTAGGGTCAGATTTGCGATTTCATGGGGGTCCTGGAATGGTGTGCTGGCTGGACCTCTCCCAGGCCTGAGGGTTGGAGCCTCCCTTCTTCCTGGGCATCTCATACCCCACCCCCAGAAAGTGCCCCTCCCCCCAGGCGTTTGTCCATTGATTTAGACACAAATGGCTGAGTTCACCTTCCTGTGGAAAATATTCGCCCTCAGGCCTTATCTTCAGGATAGGGTGGCCCACCTTGTCCTTGGGTGGAGCCTTCCCCCTCTGCTATTTCAAGCTCTGGGGCTTCAGGAAGCCCTGGGAGGGGGCTTCCTCCGGGTGTATTTTTAGAGGAACAGCGTGAGGCCTGACTAGCAGGTTCCTCTGTGATTCATGCTGGCCTGAGGACAGGGACCCCAGAAGGTCAGGGGAGGCCCAGGGGACAGAGACCCCCAATTTTGTTGGCTGAGCTCAGCATCAGGAGGCACTGGGCCCTGGGAAGGAGTGACATTCCCATGCAGAGCTGTGCTCTAAGGGGATAGGAGAAACCAGGTGGATGTGTGTGGTTTGCTTTGGTGCAGGATGAAGGGCCCACCCCTCATGCCCCTGGGAGGTGAGGGCTGAGGTGGAGTCAGAGCCCTGTAGACCATTTACGCCCTCTTAGCCTCAGTTGCATCTTCTTCCTGGGGCTGGGAGGGGAGAGGTAGGACAGGGGAAGACACTGATGTGGCTGGAACACCTTGAGGGGCTGTCAGGGCCTTGTCAGTGGTACTTAGCCCCAGGCCAGACAGTGCTGGGGGTGGTGCAGTACAGCTGATCCTGCTGATGATGATAGGGGACAGCCCCCAAGCAGAGCCAGGGCAGCTAGCAAACAGCCAGGTGGGGGCGCTGATAGACCCTGGGCCCTCCTCTCCTTCACACGCAGCCTGTGCCCCAGCCTCTGGTTCTGGAGGTCCTTGGGGGCTAGAGTGAGTGAGGCAACAGAGTTCTGCAGGGGGTGACTGCTTGGCATAGGACCCTGTCCTACCAGAGTGCTTCTGGGCCTCCCTGCTCCTGCCCTGTGAACCGCAGTAGGACTGTCTTCTATTCTGGGCCGGGGTTCCTCCCTTGCCTCCCTGTCTCCCCAGCCCTGAGTCCTGGGAGCAGGGCAGGGCCTTCTAGCAACTTCCTTCCCTTCTTGGGACAGAAACATAGCCAGTAGGGTGTGTGTGGGGGGGGTGTGGGGCACTGGGCTAGAGCCTGAGTAAGGGAGGGGGCTCAGCCACCACCCTGTTCTTCAGTGTGACTCAGCCCCATGTCCCCACCTGTCCCTGGGGAGCCTGGGCCTCAGTAGGAGGTAGATAAATGGGGTGGCAGCCTGGGCCAGTTGGAGAGCTCAGGTCACTCCAGCTGGATGCTCACTGTTGGCCACTTCTGTCCCGCCTCCATGGCCCACCCCTGGAATTCCACACCACCTGCCCTGATCCCAGGAGCCCCTCCACGGAGCGCATCCCCGGGGCTTATGCAGGTTAGGTGGGGTGGGGGCAGGGTGGGCAGTGAAGACCCCAGCAGCCAGTTTAGCCTGTGTTCCCCAGGGTCAGGAGAGGGGACCCTGGTGTGAGCATGCTGGACCCTGAACAACAATGGGGCTTTTCTCTGCCAGGGCTGGTGACTCACCATCTGGGGGGGCACAGCCTGGCTCCTGGGGTACCCCATGCCAGCCTCTTTGTCTGGTTACAGGAACAGCTGGGAGGCCAGAGCTTGTCCAGTTCTGGGGCGGCCCTGCTGGGAGCCTTGGGAACCGTGGGAGCCGTGGGAGCCTGAGGGCCTGGCTGGGAGATGGCAGGAAGTGCTCTGAGCCAGGGCCGGGAGTGAGGAATGCGAGCAATGCGCTGGCCTGCCTGCGCCCCCTCCAGACCCTGCTCTCCCGCAGGGCGTTCCTGCTGGGTCATTGCATTGCAGCCCCTCAGCTCGAGGGTCCGAATTTGGTGCTCCCTGGACCTTGCTTTCTTGCAAGGAGAGGCTAGACATTAGGAGAAATCTCATGGCTTGTGTGGTGAGAGGCAGCTGTGCTGGGTTGAGGCCGAGATGACCAGTATGGTCTTGAACCCGGATGTGACTTCAGCCTGGCCTTATGGCCCTGGATGCCCCCCCCCCGCAAATCTTTTTCCCGTTTTTTGGGTCTTGACAGAACCTGACCTGAAGGTTAATGCAGAGGACGTGGGAAGAGGCCATAGGGTCCTGTACCACCGGGCCATCCTTTCACAGATGTGGGTTGCCTTGTGTGTCTGTGTAGCATGTTTGCAAACATATGTTTGGATGTCTGGTCTCTTTGACCGTGGGATGTGGCTATGCTATCTGGGCCCATATCCACATTCCAGGCGTGGTCATGTCATACTTCCAGGTTCCATGCATAGCCCTGGCCCTGGCCCTGCTCTGTCCCAGCCAGCCTTAGGGGCCTGTGCTCTGACAGCCTATACCTGAGAGGTGCCTCTAGGGAGGTGTGGGTTCTCCTCAAAGCTGTATACTTGTACTTCCAGGTGTGTCTGGGAGAGAACACGAGTCTGAATAGTGGGGGTCTGGAGAATTTGGGGTCTCTCACCCCCCAGTTCAGACCATGTTGCCCAGCTGAGCCCCCAGGGAACTGAAGAGCAGCAGCTCCGTCCCTAGAGTTCTTGGGGTTATGGGGCCAGATGGTGGCCTGCAGTGGTGGTTTCAGGGGGTTTTGGGCAGGCTTTGGGGGTCAGGGAAGGGGTCTTGGAGGAGGAGTACAGGCTGGACAGGAAGAGGCTGTTCCCGACAGGTAGGAAGGCCCTGACCCTGGAGCAAGGCACCCACCTTGTGAGGAAAGACAGACACTCTTGGTCCCACAGCTGGGTGGCCACAAACTGGCAGGCCAGAGCATTCACAGTCAGATTGGAGTCTGGAACCAGGGTGCAGGTCTGCAAGGCTGGAATGGTCCAGGGGGTGGCCTGGGCTGCAGGGAGGGCAGATGCCCAAGGCCTGGATACCTTCCCTGAGGTCCAAGGGGCCTTCCATTCAGTGCCATCCCCAGCCTGGCACAGGGTCCCTCCACCACCCTTAAGGGAGGGGCCTGGTAAGCACTCCCACCCTGAACACTCTCACCTGCACGCACACTTGAGCCTCGAGTGTCCTGGGAAACTTGAGCTGCTGCCTGCCTGCTCACTCCGGCCACCGCCATGTTTAATTGAGCACCAGTAGCCGCTGGTCACTCGGCACTGTGGTCACTGCCTGCCTCAGGCCCCGGCTGGGTGGGGGCACTGGGTCCTGGCCCCTGCTGGCACGGCGCCCTGGCCCACAGCCCTACTGCAGGATGCCAGAGGTAAAGCAAGGCAGGGCCCTGGGATGTTGATGGGGGACCCTCAGGGCACTATAGGCTTCTGTGTCTCAGGTAGGAGGGCACCTGGGCAGGCCCCACCCTCGGCCCTCTCTATGGGCTCCTGCCAGCCCTCTCACCCGGCTCCTTCCTGCCGCAGCAGCCCCAGCTGCCCAGCCAGCCGGCATCCCCCTGTCTCTGGGCCTGGTGGGGGTGGGGATGGAGGTGAGGGTGGCTCCAGCTGCTCTGGAATGTGAAAGCAAACACAGCAGCACTGCCACCAGCCCTATGGGAGAGAAAACAAAGCTGCCCAAGCCTAGGATTCTGTGAGTCCCACACTCACGGAGGGAGTGGGGGTAGGGGTGTTTGCAGGCAGGGCCCACGAGGACAGCCATCTGGGACATTGAGATGAGTGGCAGCTGGTCTAGCCTGGCCTCTCTTAGGACCCTAGCCTGTGCTCTGGCTTTCCTTGAGTCTGTTGATTCTCCCAACATCCCTAAGGCCCCTGGCCTCTTCAGAAGTCATTTTGGGGTTTGGAAACTCAGGCTTTGCCCAACCTGTCACAGCTGGAACTGTCACAGGTAGTTTAATGCCCCCCCCCCCCCATGGATGCATAGTATTTGTCTCTGCCACGGGGCAGGGCCTGATGACCAGTGTAGGGTTGTGGTGCCCTCCTGCCCTCCACCATTGCTGTGCTGCACACTCGGGGCCGAGGCCTTGGGGTGGTGGTAGTGACCTCCGGTAGTGGGAGATCAGAGCTGGAGCTTAACCTCTAGTCCTGTGTGCCTGCAGGATGTCAATGGGCCCCCGAGGGAGCTTCGCCCTAGGCTCTGCCACTTGCGAAAGGGCCCTCAGGGCTATGGGTTCAACCTGCACAGTGACAAGTCCCGGCCAGGACAGTACATTCGCTCGGTGGACCTGGGCTCGCCTGCCGCCCATTCTGGCCTTCGCGCCCAAGATCGACTCATCGAGGTACCCATCACCGAGGCTTTGGGGTGTCAGGTGCCCCATCTGCATGTCTGTGCCTGTATCCCCTGTTTGTGTGTGGGCCCCAGGTCCTTCCTGGGAGGAGGGGAGTTTCTGGGAACTTGAGCTGGCATTCCTCTTGCGGCTGGTGACAACATTGATGAATATTTGATGCCACACCTGGCCAGGCCGCTCGGGGGGCTGGTGGGGGCCTGCCCTCAGTACTGTCCCCATGCTGCTGGTGGCAGGTGAATGGGCAGAATGTGGAGGGACTGCGCCATGCAGAGGTGGTCGCCAGCATCAAGGCACGAGAGGATGAGGCCCGGCTACTGGTGGTGGACCCAGAAACAGACGCGCACTTCAAGAGGCTACGGGTTACACCCACCGAGGAGCATGTGGAAGGTGGGTTGTTGCCCTGTGGGCTTAGAATGGGGTGGAGCGTGGGGGCTGGGCAGCCATTGACACACTGTCCCCACAGGTCCACTGCCATCACCAGTCACCAATGGGACCAGCCCTGTCCAGGTGAGAGGGTGGGTGGAAGTAGACAGGGTGGGTCCAGAAGACTGCAGGGGCACCTCTGGGGGTCCCCAGGCCAGGCAGAGCCCCCCATCTTTGTCCCTAAATATTTGAGGTTGTGACACCCAATCTGGCCCCAATACTCCCAGCTTTAATGCCCTGTGTGGATACTGTCCCGGCCGGGTCAGCCACACCCCAGCCCCACTCGGCAGGCAGGCAGGCACCTTTGGTCCAAGGGCTACTGCCCTTGCTATTCCCTCTGCCCAGCCTAGCACTGTCTAGTTACCTCAGGAAGCTGTCCTTGGCATCGCCCCAGGTGACACTCATGTGGGTGATTCCTGCATCCAAACTGCCCCTCCCCGTTGTGAGTCAGCCAAGGCCAGGCCACCTGCCTGTTCACTGTTTAGTGTCCAGCATCCTGCCTACACTAGGCCTGGATGATAGCAGAGGCTTAGTGCCCACAGCCAAATGGAGGGATAAATGCAGCTCTGGTGTGTGCATGTGTGTGTGTGTGTGTGTGTGTGTACACCAGTGACTCCTGGGTAGGGCCTCTGAAGCTACTATGCCTTGCCCTTGGTTTCTCAGCTCAATGGTGGCTCAGCGTGCTCATCCCGAAGCGATCTGCCTGGCTTAGACAAGGACAATGAGGTAGCAAATGTCCATCCAACTCCTCTGCTGTCCTTACACTTCGGGGTTGGGGGGCAGAGAGGCCTTTGGGGTGGATGTTTGTGGAGCTATCAACCTGGGCAGTGGGGCCACTGCCTCCAGGAAGCCCTCCTGGGCCCACTGCCTCAGTCCCACCAGGTGGCCTCTGGTGTGAGCTCTCTGGGAAGGTTTATCAGTTTGGAGGCTTGGGTCCAGGGCTCACTCTGGTCATCTACCCACCCCTAGGATGGCAGCACCTGGAAGCACGACCCTTTTCAGGAGAGTGGCCTCCACCTGAGCCCCACGGCGGCTGAGGCCAAGGAGAAGGCAAGAGCCACCCGGGTCAACAAGCGGGCACCGCAGATGGACTGGAACCGGAAGCGTGAGATCTTCAGCAACTTCTGAGCCCCTCGCTACCTGTATGCTGGACCCAGGCCTCTTCCCTGCACAGACTTTGGGTCTTGCCCTTTGGGCCCAGACCAGAGCTCCCCAAGCTTCACTGGACTGGAGGAGGTGCATCCTCACCCCCAGAAACCTTGGTGGTCCAACCACCACCCAGGAGCCAACCCACATCCCAGTGAGTCCTCGTCCTGATACCCCTCTCTCTGGGTGCTAGGGGAAGTTGGCAGCAAGACTGGGGAGAGGGAGCCCCCAGTTTGAGAGAAACATTGAGAGGGAGAGGCAGTGGTGACCCTAGGGCCTGGGCCCTTGCTGTTCTGCCCAGGCTTGCTGACTTAAAGGAATTTGTGGTTTTGCTTTTTTTCCAAAAAGAACTCCAGCTCCACACATGTTTCCACTTAATACCAGAGCTCCCGCCCCCGCCAGGACATGTTCCCTAAATAATTGCAATAAAACAAACCTTTCTCTACAAACGATTTCCTCCCCACCCCTTCCTCCTTGGCAGCAGTCATCCCCGGTGGGAGTCCCAGGGACTTCCTGGGACAGAGGGGGGGTGGGCAGGCTGTTTGAGGGGGCTTCAGATGAGGCTGGAGAAGCCAGACGTAGCTGTAGGAGCTTCCCCTCAGGCCCATCTTTGCCTTCTTTCACGTGGGAGTTCACTAAACTGGGCCCCTATGTCCCTGTCACACCAGGGGTCTGGGGTGCTGGGCTTGAGCTCTCTATTGGGCCCGAGAATGGAGGCCCCATGTGCCTCTGAAGAGGGCAGCCTCTGGACAGGCCCCTTGTTCCTGCGCCACAGCCCACCGCAGGAGTGCCCCTCCCCATTCGACCCCAAACTCGGCCCTAAAACCCACCAACACTGCTGTCTGCCCTGTAAGCCATAGCGCATCTGCGCCCTTGGAATAAACAGGCCTTCCTCAGACCCTTGGCTGCCTCTGTCCTTCCTGAGCCTTCGGGGGTGGGGAAATGGTGGTCCAGACAGGAAGGCAGCAGCCTAGCAGCCCCATCACCAAGTCTCAGCTGTTGGAAACAGGTCTCCTTCTTAAACCTCCCCTCCCTGAATCCATCCACCTGGTAGCTAAGCCCCACTCCTCAGCTGTTCCTCTTCCCCTGCCCTCACCAGCCCACCTGGGACCCCTTCCCTTGGAGCTCTGCCCTTCTCACCCTCTAGGCCCTTGCTTACCTCCTCTGCCTGGTGAGGCCCAGGTCCCTTGTTGGCACCTCCCTTGTGAAGCTTTCTGGGCCCCTGGCACAGCTCTCCTCTTCAGCAGGTACAAAGGTCAGGCAGGCCCCATGCCCTGTGGTACCCGGCCTGGGCCTCCTGGCATTCTTTTTGAGGCCAGGTGGCTCTGTAAGCACTGGGGGCGGGGCCTCCTGGCAGAGGCCAGGCTCTCAGGGTGTACAAGTTCAGGAGAGGGGATGTTTCTGGGCCCCCAGCCAGCTGCTGAGGGAGGAAGCCCAGGCCTCTGGCGTCCCCAGCCGGCTTCGCAACAGCTGGTTACATCTGGCTCCCATGATCCATCTCTTCAGTCTGAGTTTCTGCACGCCACCCCCCAGCCCCCAATACACTGCCCAGATTGTCACGTCCACATCCTGGCCTCCCAGGCAGCCCCATTCCAGACATGTAACAGGAACACAAAGCTCATGCACCCCCCAAAGGGTAGAAGTCAGACAGATCCCAACTGTTGCAAACCCCCCATCTTTATTACGAACAGGCTGCAGCTCCCCAGCAAAGTTGCAGACTAGACATGGCCTTCAGAGTCCCTGTGCAGCTGGGCACAGCGCCTGGTTGAGGCAGGCTTGGCATCGCGGGCGGACAGGCAGACAGATCTGCTGGCCAAAGCCCACCAAGAGTCCGTTAATCTCACTCCACAGGTCCCTGGGGGAGGGAGGGAGTGGGTTAATGCAGATCAAGAGGAGGGAAGAAAGGGAGCCCCATTTTGCCCCTGCAGTAGCACCTGGGCAGCCACTCCTCCAGGGCTGCACGAGTCTCCTCTGGAGACTTGGTCACCTTCTTGGTCCATCTGAGTCGGTTGGCAATTCTGTGCACGTGTGTGTCCACTGCTGCTTGGAGACAGGGAGGGGTGGAATGTGGGGTACATTAGCGGGCCCAGACCACCCCATTCTTTTTTGTTATTCTTTTGTTAATCCTTACCTGAGGATACTCTTCCACTGATTTTTTAATTTTTTTTTTTAATCCTCACCCAAGGATATTTTTGCATTTATCTTCAGATAGAGCGGGAAGGAGAGAGGGAGGAAGAGAGAGAGAAACATCAACAGGAAAGAGACACATCGAGTGGTTGCCACCTACATGACCCCAACCAGGGCCGGGGACAAACTGCAACCGAGGTACGTGCCTTTAGCAGGAACTGAACCCAGGACTTTCCAGTCCAGGGGCCGATGCCCTAACCGCTGAGCCAAACCTGCCAGGGCTTCCATTGATTTTTTAGAGGGAGGAGAGGAATGGAAAGAGGAGAGGAAGGGAGGGAGGGAGAGAGAAAGAGAGAAAAACATCAATGTGAAAGAGACACGTTGATTGGTTGCCTCCTGCACACCCCAGCTGGGGCTGGGGATCAAACCTGCAACCCAGGTACATGCCCTTAGTTGGGAATTGAACCCACAAGCCTTCAGTCCATGGGCCAACGTTCTAACCGTTGAGTCAAACTGGCCCAGGCAAGACCACCTCGTTCTTGCCCATGGTCCTACCATTAGCCCGGGTTGGTGGGGGGTCTGAGTCTCCCTGGCCTCCCACACAGAGCTTCTGCGGAGGGCCCAGAACTGCACATGAGAGTGGGCCATCAGGCCACCCGTAGTACTGGGCAGGGGCTATAGCCAGAAACCAGAGCACTTGGGCCCTCATTTGGGGTACAGGGAGCAGTCTCTTGGTCGAGCCACTGGCTATGGGTGCCAGCCGAAGTCATTGCCTGCAGAGCCAGCACCTGTAAGGAACAGAGTGGGAAGCACAGCAAGGCCAGCTGCAGCTGTTGTCCAGCTGGGCCGCAGCCCCTGCTCCCCTTCACAGGCCACCCCGGAGTTCAGCCTGAGCACCTGACCACCTAGGCCTCCTTGCCCAGCTATCTGCCTTCCCTGTCTCCTCCTCCTGCTTGTCAAAGAGAAAGCCAGTCCCTGCATTAGCTTCTTCTCCTGCTGCTAACCAGCCCAGGTAGAGGGGTTACACCCTGGGGTTCCCCAGCGTATTTCCTCTTCCATAACATGGAGGTGACTGTGCTCCCTGAGGCCCAGCCTAGGGCCACACCACACTGTGTGAACCTCCTGTGGGCTGGTCCAGGAGGCCAACTTCTTCCCTTCCTCTGTGGCCAAAGCTCAGAGAGGCCAAGGGCCTTGCCCAAGGTCACCCAGGTGGGGTGGCAGAGCTGGGATCAGTTTTTTTGAGGGGGCTTCTCCTGGGGAAGCCCCTGGGAGGCAAAGGCTACTCTCCCTAGGGTTTCCCTGTGGGTGACCAGGCCCACAGACAACCAGAAAGGACGATATTCTGACACTCCTGCCTGCTGTCTGCTATTCCCAAAGCCCTGTCCTGCCAGGGTGGTGGGCAGGGGGCCCACCTGCCAGACCACTCTTGGGAAAGAGCAGCTGAGGATGGCCACCCAGATCAGCTCAAGTATCTGCTGAGAAGCTGGCATCTGCAGGAACCCTAGTGGGGGTAGGCTCTGCCCTGGCCTCCTCCTTGGCCCAGTTTTGGCTCTCTGGGGCTGCCATCCTACTCATGGGCATGCTGGAAAAGGGCCCCCACCACAGGGGGCAGGCTTCACAAGCTGAGGAAATTAAGGGGATCCCCACCTCCACCCAGCTCCCCATGCAGGAGTCCCAGAGAAGCACTGGGGTTGGGGAGTACAGAGAGGTCACGGGTCAAGCCTTGGTTTCTGGGCTGGCTGAGACTACTGCTGGGGCCTCAGAAGCCCCAACTTTCTGGGCAAAGACCTTAAAAAGCAACCGCTGCACCCTGACCCAGAGCCTGTCTCCACACAGAAATCCTCCGATGACAGAAACCAGGCCTGGACCCAGGAAAGAGGATCCCTACCCCCAGTTCCTCCTCACCATCCTTCTAGCCCATTCTTCCTCTCTCTGGGTTCCCCTGCCCTCACACCACCCCAATCTGCCCACACTCATTCCAGAGCCTCCTGCTTCTGGCCCTCTCTCCCACCTCATGGCTTCACAGATGCTATTCTTCTGCCTGGAACACACTTCCTTCTCTTGGCCTTGCCTTACCCTTCAGCTTGTGGATGAGTTATCACTTCCTCAGGAAGTCTTCCTGGATGCACGCCCCCATCAGGGTTCTACCCCATCAGTAAGGATTATGTGATGTCTCCCTCAGGCAGCACAGACCCTGAGTCCACCTCCCGAGTCCAGCACAAAGTAGGTGCTCAGCAAATTGGAGCTCCTCCTGTTAGTATTTGTCTTAGGGCGGGACAACCCTAGCTCAGAGCTGGGAACACCTTTCTGACTCTTCGAGCTGAGTAGTGGATGAGGAGACCTGAGCTGGGGCCACAGGATCTGGGGAGCCCTGACAGCATTCAGCAAGCTCAGAGCTGGCCCCACCCTCCTCATGGGTACATGCCACTCACCAATGCCTGACACAGTACCCCAGGCCACAGCCATAGCCAAGTGTGCCATTTTGGGTCCGACGCCTGGCAGTGCTACCAGTTCTGCCACAGAGGCTGGGATGTCCCCATCATAGTTCTGCTGCAGGATGGCACTGGTCTGCTTGATGTACTTCACCTTGTTCTGAAAAATGGGGAGAGGGTTCAGTTCTGGAAGTGGGAGGTGGAGTCCAACCTGGGAGGACAAGGTCCGAGGGAGAACCACAGTTGCCCAAAGCTGCCTATCACCTGCCCAGGACACACTCAGAGGCACCTGCTTGCTCCTGTCCCCCCACGAGGCAGGAATAAACCAAGGGAAACAGGCAGCCTGAAGGAGGCCCAATGTAGGCCTGGACCCCTGCCTTCCACCTGTCTGGGCCAATGATATGTCTGTGGGGTCCAGCTTGGGCTCCCACAAGCCCCATTATTACCCCAGAGGCCAGACAGGCTACACAGGACCAGCCATGCCAGGAGCTGGGTTCAGCAGCACCTGGGCCTTCAGGAAGGAAGGCTGGAGCCTGGGGTTCCCTGCCAGCCAACAGGCCAGCTGGGCAGTTCCCATCCTGTGCCTGAGCAGACAGGGCTATTTAAAACCCATCTGACAAGCCCTGGCCAGTTTGGCTCAGCGGTTGGAGTGTTGGCCTGCGGACCAAAGAGTCCCGGGTTCGATTCCTGCTAAGGGCACGTACCAAAAAATAAAATAAAGTATTTAAAAAAATAAAAATAAAACCCATCTGACACACTGCAACCCACACCAGTGCCTAGGGTCACTGGTCACCTTCAACAGATCTGCCCACCCACCTCCCTGTTCTGTGGCCTCTTGGGACTCTGGAGGGGAGGGAGTAACACACTCCAGCAAGGCTCTGAATAAACAAAGGGAAAGGTGGGTGGGCAGCCTCAGCAAGAAAGGGAAGGGCCAGGCAGCTGGGCGGGGAGGTGGAGGAAGGAAGGGGTGGGCCGCAAACAGGAAAGGCCAAGGAGTTCCAGGGCTTGGACTGGAGGCCCCACTGTCTGGCCCTCTATGGGCTGCTCAGAGGGGGTGGGGAGCTCCAGTGAGAACGCACATCCAGGCCCCTGTGGCCAGAAATGTCCAACCCAGTCTTCTGCACCCCCACTGCCCTCCTCAGCCACCTGAGATATTTTCTAGGTTTGTGGCAACCCCGGGCCCAGTTGCCACATGCTGGGCTCACCCTCCAGAAGCCCACAGGGTAGATGAGTGTGCCCAGTGTGCTGTCATCTGTCTGAAGGATGCTGTCCACCGTTAGGCCCCGAGCCTTCAGCCGTTGCATGGCACCTGCTGTCACCTGGTCTTTGGTCTGGCTGGAGAGCATCAGTGACAGCAGCACCTGGTACCTCCGCACCTGCTCACAGTGACAGAGACCAGAATGGTGGTAGGTCCTAGATGCTCACTATGGACCAGGCCCTAGCCAAGTCTTTTACTCACTTGGGAACAGATGGGATGCCAACCTCCTACCCACCTTGGCCAATAGGGAGAGGTGTGTGGGATCTGGCCTGGGCCTGCTTTTCATCTGTAACGTGGGGACAATAATAGCACCTGCTTCTCAGAATCACTGTGAGGCTTAAATGAATTCTCACTACACTTAGACTTGTACCTGGCATAATGTCAGTGCAACAACCATTGGCTGTTATTGTTATTGCTATATGAATGATGCTACTATCTGTTTTATAGACAAGCAAATTGAGGCCCAAGTCATTCAGTGGAAGAGCTGGGATTAGAATCATGTTGGTCAAAGGATCAGGCTCCACGCCAGGGAAGTACAAAAAACTTTCTCTATCAGCAAACTTACTGAATGCCTCTGATAATCCAGCACTATGCTGGCAGAAGGCAGAGCATGAGGCCCCAAGCCACAGGTACCCCTGACCTGCTAAGTGGCCACAATAAAGCAAGTAATGCTGCCCAGTGCTCTGGGTCTGAGGTGTGCATCCTTTTCAGGTGCTGCCTGCAGGGGAGGGTTCCAGCTAAGAACTGCCAGGTGTCAGGCTGTTCCCTGCCACAGTCCTGAAAGGAAACAAGCATCTTGTTCAGAAGGAGGTCACCAGGCAGGTGGGGCCCTGCCTACCTTTGGGGGCGCACTGGGATCATAACAGTGCTCAGCCCCCAGCTGGTCCACAGGTGCATCCTTCTCACTCCTCATGGTGCGGATATTTGCCAGCTGCTGCTGCCAGTCCTGAGGCTCCCAGCTTGGCACCTTGAGCGGCTTGGTCCCCTCTCCTTTCTCACCATCTGAGGTCTCATAGGCCACATTCAAACTTTGTGCCTTCCGCTGACGCTTCACAGGGTGGCAGTCTTTCCTTCTTTCTGCAAACAAAATGCCACTCAGTCCCTTCAGTGGGGGACACAGGTAAGGATAAGGTGTTGCCTTACCTGCTCCCTCATTCTTTCAACAAGCATCCATCATCTACTACTGCTGGGGGTGCTCTGTCCTCTGTAGCACACACTCCAGGGCAGGTCAGCTTTCTTTGTGCCAGGCCAAGTTAATACGAGAACTCTGTTAACAGCCTCTACCATGAAGCCCCCTAATCTAGTCTCCACACTGTCAGGGAAAACTTTACAAGACAAAAATTAGATTATGTCACTTTCTGTTGAAAAGTCCTCACTGCTGCCTGGTGGTGTGGCTCAGTGCTTGAGCACTGACCCATGCACCAAGAGGTCGCCGGTTCGATTCCCAGTCAGGGCACATGCCTAGGTCGTGGGCCGGATCCCCAGCCTCTATCTCTCTCCTGCTCCCTTTCACTTTCTCTTCTCTAAAATCAATAAAGAGCCCTGGCCGGTTTAGCTCAGCGGTTAGAGCATTGGCCTGGGGACCAGAGAGTCCCGGGTTTGGTTCCTGCTAAGGGCACATACCTGGGTTGCAGTCTGTCCCTGCACCAGTTGGGTCATGTGGGTGGCAACCAATGTGTCTCTCTCACAAAGATGTTTCTCTCTCTCTCTTCCCCCCTTTCTCCCTAAAAAAAGTTAAAAATCAATAAAGAAAAATTATTTAAAAATAAATAAATAAAAGTCCTCATTGGTTTTTCCTTATACTCATAATGAACTCCAAGCTCTGTCCTGGCATCAAAGCTCCTGCCTATCTGGCTGGACCTGTCACCTGCTTATTCCCTCCAGCCTGTTCCTCCCACCATGCTTCCACTGGGTCTACTTTTCTGTACTACCCCTGAGGTCCTTGGGTGCCTATGGGAATCCCTCTCTGGCCAGTCCTGCAGATATCACTGCAGGACAAGTTGCAGAGCCCCCGTCAGTCTCATTTACTGCTCAGTAAACGCAGTAGGTCCTTGATAACTACAGGATAGCATAATAAAGACCACATACCCCGTTCAGTGTTCTCTCAGAGGAACCTTCTAGCAATGAGAGAGGACTTCTGGCCATGGGTGTCCTGGGCACCCGACTTCTCTGAGAGGTAAGCAGCTATGAGAACAGGGCCAGATAGCATGGCGCAAGTGGAACATCGCAGAACAGGCTAGTGGGACAGGGAGCAAGCCCTTGTTCAGGACGAGGATGGGAGAAAGTGGGAGCGCCCAGGACCCAGCCACTGTGGACCCGACCCTGACTTCTGGGAATAGGGCACTAGGTGGGAACCCAGCTGCACGTGGAGCGGAGGAACTTGCTTGCTGCTGTTGGGTCCACCACTTTCGACGTCTGGGTCCCAGCCTGCCCGACTCCGAGCCCACGTGAGCCGCCCGGGACCCTACCACTCAGTTCCTTGCAGTTCCCTCCCTCTTCTCTCCTTCCTTTTCCCGGCCGGGTCGTGGCGCTACCTGCAGCCGCCTCTCCTCTTTGGAGCGGCGCGGCCTCCTCCCCACTCCCTCTCGGTCCGGCCCCAGATCCCCGGCTCCGGCTCCCGCTGCGGGTCACCATCCTCATGCCCGCGTTATTCATGCCGAACTCCTGCAGCCTACACATCCCGGCGGCCCCCGCGGCCATGTCATGTGACTCAACTCTCACCTGTCTTTCCGCCAAGGGAAGCCTAGGACTACGACTCCCAGCAAGCCGTGCGGCGGCCTTTGACGCCATCCGCTGCGGAAGTGCGTATTTCCGGCGGCAGCTCCGAGCTAGGGGGTGTGCTCCCTTCTCCGCCCTGGGACGGCCCGGCGCGCCCGGCGCGTTGCGGGCGCCGTTCGGGGTGAGTGGTTTGTGGTGTCCTGACCACTGGCTGGCGCCCGCCCAGACCGCGATGTGGCCCGGCCCCGAGGGGAGGCGGCCGCGCTGGGCCTACTCAGTGATGAGGCGGCGGGGGCGAACCCCACAGTGGCGCGGGTCCGGGTCTAGGCCGCTCCCCCCTTAGCCTGACCCTGGAGTTCCAAGCACACCTTGGTTTTAAGTCGTGGCGGGTGAGAGGGGAGTCCCTACTTCCGGCGTTCCTCCGAGAGTCCTCCTTTACATGAAGGGGAGAGAGATGGCTAACGTCAGGGCTTCCTGGGCCCTGCGATGGCCGCCCTTCACCCCCAATTCCTCTCCCTCACCCCATGCATTAAGGGTCGGGCGGCCGGGCGTTTCCCAGGTTTATTTCTGGGAAACGTGGCTGCGGTTGAGTTCTCTCCAGGGACTGGGAGGAAAGGTGCTCGCCAAAGACCTAGGTTTCCCGGGTGGCTGTAGCTCCGCGAGGACAGGTGTATGGAGTTGTTTCTGAGATCTCTGTGCCTGTTTCCTCCGCGCAGAGTCCCATGGTGCGTTCCTGCCTACCATGGCCAAGCCAACAAGCAAAGATTCAGGCTTGAAGGAGAAGTTCAAGATTCTGCTGGGGCTGGGAACTTCAAGACCAAATCCCAGGTCTGCAGAGGGCAAACAAACAGAGTTTGTCATCACAGCGGAAATCCTGAAAGTGAGTGAGCTGCCTGTGTCTTTCCTGCTGGCCTCGTGGGAGATGCAAGGAAGACTGGTTTTGGTCTGTCAACAGGTTATGTGGGAGATGAGTTGCTGGTGACAGTCTTTATAGGGATGCTGTCCCCAGGACCACGGAGACTTACATGCCTTTTTTCTAGAGATTCAGGACATTAGAATCTTGGCGACTTGGTTCAGCACGAATTAATATTCAGATGTCAATGCAAGAAAACCTATTTACAATACAGGATCTGAATGCCATGGTCTCAACAGGTGTTTAGGGTTATGACCAAGCATAAACAAGTAATTTGTGAGTTCCTGTGAGAAGTCTTTTTTTTGTCTTTGTTTGAATCCCCCTACCACATTCTTGACACCATGCTTTGCCCATGATTAAATACTGTGTTTACACTTTTTTAAATATACTTTTACTTATTGATTTTAGAAAGAGAGAAAAACAAACAAACATCAATTTGTTGTTCCACTTATTTATGCATTCATTGGCTTTTTTTTGTTGTTCTTTGGTACATGCCCCTAGCGGGAACCGGACCCAGGACTCTCGGATTCACAGGCCGACGCTCCAACCACTGAGCCAAACCGGCCAGGGCAATTGGTTTTTTCTTATATGTGCCCTGACAGTGGATCAAACCTGCAACCTTGGTATATCAGGATGATGCTCTAACCTACTGAGGAACAGCCAGGGCTTAGTTCTTGTACATTTTTAAAAATATATTTTTTTAATGATTTTAGAGAGAGAGGAAGGGAGAGGGAGAGAGAAACATCGATGTGAGAAACAATTGATTAGTTGCCTGCCATATGCACCCCAACTGGGGATCGAACCCTCAACCTGTGTATGTGCCCTGACCGGGAATTAAACCTGCCACCTTTTGGTGCTTAGGAAAACACTCAACCACTCCAGCCACTCCAGCCAGGGTAGTTTTTTTTTTTTTTACCCTCACTCGAGGACATTTTTCCATATATTTGTTCAGATAGAGTGGAGGGAGGGAGGGAGGGAGAGAGAGAGAGAGAGAGAGAGAGAGAGAAACATTGATGTGAAAGGGACACATTGGCTGCCACCCACACGACCAGCCAGGGCCAGAGACAAACTGCAACTGAGATACGCCCTCCTAGCAGGAACCGAACCCGGGTCTCTCTGGACTGCAGACCAATGCTGTAACTGCTGAGCCAAACAGTTTTGGGGCCAGCCAGGACAGTTTTTACACTTTTAATCCTCACCCGAGGACATTTTTTTTATTTTTTGTTCAGATAGAGTAGGAGGGAGGGAGGGAGAGAGAGAGAAAGAGAGAGAGAAACATCAATGTGAAAGGTACACATCGAGTGGTCGCCACCCGCACGACCCAACCAGGGCCGGGGACAAACTGCAACCGAGGTACGTGCCCTTAGCAGGAACTGAACCCTGGTCTCTCTGGACCGCAGGCCAACGCTCTAACTGCTGAGCCAAACCGGCCAGGGCCAGTTTTTACACTTTTAAAGTTCATCAGTTGGTGAGTTGCCCCTTGAATAACAGATTTAAGCTGCTTGGGTCCACCTAAAGGTTTCAATTTTTTTTAATTGAATTTGTTGGGGTGATACTGGTCAATAAAATAAAGGTTTCAGCTGTACATCATCTGTATATTGTGTGTTTACTATACCAAGTCAAGTCTTAAACGCAGGTTTCTAAAATCTACACGTAAGTGGACCCTCACAGTTCAAACCCAGTGTTGTTCAAGGGTTAACTTGTATAGATACATTCATACAAAGGAGTATACTTGTTAAAAGAAAGGAATGAAGTGCTGATACATGTTACAACATGGATGAACCTTGAAAACACGCTAAGTGAAAGAAACCAATCATAAAGTTTCACATAATGTATTATTCCACTTATATGAAATACTAAGAACAGGCAAACCCATAGATACAGAAAGTAGGTTAACATTTGCCAGGTCCTGGGTGGAGAAAGAAATGGGGAGTGACTGCTGATGGGTATGAGGTTTCTTTTTGAGTTAATGAAAATGTTCTGTTCTGTACTTAGTGGAGGTGGTTATAAGCATTGTAAATATACTAAAACATGAATTGTATGGTTTAATATTTTAATTGAGGAGGGGGAGAGAGAGAGAAACATCTACATGAGAGAGACACATCAGCTGGGCTGGGGATGAACCGCAGCAGAGGTATTGACCCTTGACCGGAATCAAACACGAGACTCCTTGGTCCGCGGGCTGACACTAACCGCTGAGCCAATCCAGCCTGGGCTGGTTTAATTTTTTTAGAATTGATTTTAGAGAGGGGGGAGAGAGAGAGACTTCAACATCGATTTGTTGTTTCACTTATTTATGCATTTATTGGTTGATTCTCGTATGTGCCCTGAAGATCGAACCCACAACCTTGGAATATCAGGACAAGGCTCTGACTAACTGAGCTACCTCGCCAGGGCCTTAATTGTATGGTTTAAAGGGTGAGTTTTATGTAATGTGAATTTTACCACAATAGAAAAGTGCAGTGATGGAAGAAAAAAGTCTGTTCTCATTCCACTGAGATGGAGTGGTAAACTGGTAATCCCTAATTTCAAAAAGGTCTGCAAATCTCCAGAGTGGGAAATATGGTATAGTTCTTAGGGTGGTCTCTGATTGGCAGTTAGGAGACCTGTTGCCTGAGCATGGCCCCTTTTCCTTCTACCTTCTCCAGGAACTGAGTGTTGAATGTGGCCTCAACAATCGCATTCGGGTGATAGGGCAGATCTGTGAAGTTGCAAAAACGAAGAAATTTGAAGAGGTAGGTCTGTCTCAGTTGGGCTATCTCTGATGCACGTGAGCTGTTTAGAAGCCCGATTTGGCTTTTTCTAGGAGCAGGGTTTACAGCTGACTTTGCTAATGAACTAATACACATCATTTTAGGGGATTTAAAAGTTCATCTTAGTGATGGGGAAATTTCTGGAAATGCCCTGAGCACAATGCTGAGGGACCAATCCTATGTGGAGGTGGAGAGCAAAGAGGTTTACAGAAATGCACACTTACTTGTCCTCTTATTGTAAATTTGGGAAAAGGAAAAACGGAGGAGTGTAAGGAAAGAGTGGGTTTCACAGAGAACGATTCAAGGCACATCAGTCTCAGTGTCTTTGGAAGAGGAATGTGGTTGGTGGTATCAAGAGGCCCTACAGACATAGGTATATTTATTTCAGCCAACTATTTCCAGGCTCTCTCCTGACGTCCAGTGGACAGAGTGGGAAGTTGTCCTTAGAACACTTCAAGGGTTCTGCTCTAGCCTTGCTCTACATTTGTGTGAGTGACAGGGTGGCCCGGGGAGATGTGGACCTCACACCTAGTAGATTCAGATCTGCTAAGGAGGAGAATAACTGCTATATTCTTAACATCTCATTTGAAACATGTAAGCTGCACATTATCAAGAATAAATCTGTGTTCATAAAGTTGCCTGTATAGGCTCAGAAAGGTGAGATGTGGCTGAGCTGCTGTCATGTGAATAGACAGGCCTGGGATAGTCTTAATAAGCTCAGCATCTATTTTGTTGTGACTTAGGTTGCATTAATAGGAGTATTGTGAATGGGACAAAGGAGGTGAAAGTTCCTGAGTTGGTCAGAACATTGGTCAGACAATATCTAAAAGACATTTTAATCCCACTCCTAAGAGGAGTGAGCTCAGGAAAGGGTGAGTGGTCTGAAAACCCTGGTTGAAGGGAGTCTGGGATGGTTAATATGAAGAAGGGAAGGTGACAAGAGAGACTGATTCTGGGTAGCTGTCGGGAACAGGAGACAGGTCTCCCATGGGCTAGGTGGACTTAGTTAAAGGAAGCAAATGCCAGAAGCTTGCACAGAGTTCTTGACAGGTCAAGCCAGGCAGCAAAGGTAGGACAAGGATGTGGTACCGAGTGGCTCATGGCTGGGCTGTGTGTTTACACAGAGGGAAGCCAGCAGGTGGATTTCTGTGTCTGGCTACAGGCCCAGGGACCACTGTGGAACTTCTGGTTCTGAGACTTCTGCCTTTCCCACCAGAGTCTGAACAAGCTTTAAGGTAGACTCCCTGTGATATCTGGAGGCAGCTAGGACAGCTTCTCTGTCCTGCCTGTCCTCC